AAAAAGAAGAAAGAGAGAGAAAGATGAACATAAAAAAAGAGAAGGGGGAGGGGGGCTGGAGAAAAAAAGTCAACCCCTGCTGCCAATTATTGGAAAAACATCAAGGTCTTTTCTGTTTGTGCAAAGAGAGAGAAAAGAGGGAGTCAGTTATGAGGTAGAAGAGGAGATAGTGTTTGATGGCTTGGCTCAGTGTTAGTTGGAGGATTGTGGCAAGTCAAGGCTGAAGCTGACCTGCAGGAGGCGATTACAGGTGGAGATGTGCATTTGTCTGTCTGCTAAGTCTCCCTTTCATTGTTTGGTGCTTCTCTTTTTTCCCTGTATGCCATTTTTTTTTATCTTTGCCTCTTTCACTATCTCTCTCAGACTCACTCTCCTCTTGTTGTCGCCGTCCTTATCTGTGCCTTTCTTTCCGTTACCACCATGTGCTGTTAAACCAGTTCACAAGGACAAATAAAGGTCATGTTTTTGTCTTTGTTGCAGTGTTTCTGTCTGCCTTGAACCACCCACACACACACATATGCATCCTGAACACCTATTAACTGTGTCACTAAAGTAGGAAGCGGCCATAAATGACAGGCTGTATACAGAAAAAGCATGTCAGAAAAATGATGAGGATGTCATGACAACAAACAGAGGAAAGGATTACAGTGTTGTCAGTAAGCAAGACACATTTTAAAGTCTGTGAGGAGCAGAAATAATCACATAAATGATGCAGGTTACACTTCCACAGTAACTCTAACTTGGCCTGACAGACTCAAGGCTTTTTCTTTTATTCCTTTTATACTTATTCAAGCAAGTTACATGTTATTTTTCAGGAAAAAAATCTGTTGCACATTACTAATCAAAGCACTTTTTAAAAAAAATTACTACTGATTATATAAGATCAAATAACAGGGATAAACGAGTTGTTCAGTGGGTGTTACTCTACCTTTTAACAATTTTTGGCTGTCATCACCTCCAGTCCACAAACAATTTTGATCTCTAATCAGAGTCTCTGTGCATTTACATCTCATCATTCCATGCTAATTGTATACCTTAAATGATAATTCTGCTTGTTTTAACTTTTGCAGTTTTGGCCATCTTTTCTACTGGAGATGATAAAATTGTAATCACTAAAGTAAACTACCAAGATCTGGCAACACTGCTATAGTGAAGTCCAGTTGAGCAAAAAACATGAGCAGTTAGACAACCTCACAGATTGCAGACTAGCCAACAGTTAGGGCCAGCTTATCAAAACTGTAGCCCAACAGATACAGGACATCTGAGGTCAGTATCTTTATTTTAGATGTAAGCAATTAAAGTAAACAAGAATACCTTAATAAGAACGACGACAAAAGACGTTTTGACCACACACACCAGTGTCGCTGGGTGGGGTCAGTGGTTAAACAGGCTATAACCATAGAACCAAAGAGGGCAGCAAAATGCCATTTTTCTTCCTGATGTTTTAAAGTTCCAAATTAAAGTTTTAAGTGTTCTTATATCACTGTTTAATGGTGACACATGAGTAATGCAAACACATCTTATTTCTGTGCTGCAGTTTCTTGTTATTGGCTAAAATATTGTCCATTAGTGAGGTATCAGTCATAACATAAGTTTGGCCAATAATTTAAGCCAGTCCAGTCAATTTAATTGACTTCGGGTGGCTGTGGCTCAGGAGGATGAGCGGGTCATTTCATAATCTGAAGGTTGGTGGTTTGATTCCCGGCTTATCCAGTCTACACGTCGAAGTGTCCATGAGGAAGACGCTGAACACCCAGTTGCTTCTGGTGATGTCACCAGTGTATGAATGGCAAAATAGTGTGAAAGCACTTTGAGTGTGCTAAAATGCTTAGAAAAGCACTATATAAGTATAAGACCATTCACCAACATCTTCCTAAGTGTTTTCTTAAATTTCTTAGTAGGTTGTTCTTAAGAAAGGTCCTAAGAAAAGTTTACGTCTGATTCATGAGCAAGATCTTAAACCACAGAATTGTTCACACCAGTTTTCTTATATTGATGAAGCCCATGTGCCTGTAAGTTGAAAGCGCTTGCCAGTCATTCCTAATTAGCATAGGTTAGCTGCCTGCCAATGCCCAACAAAGGGCATGAGACAGCAGGGCCGTGTGCACACATCTCACACAGAAACTGAAAAGAGAAGTTGAGAAAGCCAGGATTGCTACAATGGAAATCTAAAGGTGATCGAGCAACAAACTCCAAAGCAAAGAGGAACTTAGTAGTTAAGAAGTGAAGAACAGTGAATGAGCTGCCATATTTAGTAACATCTGTAGTGGATATAGAATAAAACAAAAAAGACACACAGATGCTGTATAAAGAGAAAGGCACACAACTGATAAAGTAAAAAGATGGTTTGATCTCAAATCTGAGGCAACAAAAAAAACAGAAGAGAGATGCTGACCAGTGGAGGCGGACAGGCTGGCCCAGAGTCATCTGAGCTGTACCAGTGCAATGCAGACATACACGGATCTATCGGGTGCCGTCAGCTGAGTAGCAGACCTCCATGCGTGCACCCAGGTCACTTCAACTGCCCTGAGTCTGACCTCAGATGCGGTGCAGGACAACCAAACGCTTACACACTGGCCAAAACATCTGAGATGTTCAAAGAAATTAACAAAAATTACAAATCTATATGTTTGGCTTTTAAGTAGTGTTAGCTTTCCCCAAAACTGTCAAGCTCTCAAGCATTCTCTGTTCTTATACTATCTGTTTCTAGTTTTTCTGCATGAAGCTCCATGCACACACACACATTCTTAGGATTAGCCTCTCCACACGCCTCCAAACACTCACCCACAACAGTCAGGTTAAAGGTCTGCTGTGACCCGTTCCCATTGATGATCTGGCCCTGATACTGTCCACTGTCGTTGATATGGAGAGACAGAATGGTGAGAGAGCCCGTCCTTTCATCCAGCTGGAATCTTTGTGATTCATTCCACTCCAGTTTTCCATTGTCAAAGTTGATGATGACACGTTTATCTACACCATATGACCAGAGAACCTGATAGTTGCCACGTAGTCCAGTGACTCCAGTGTTCAGAGTGATGCTTTCTCCAGCTTTCCCTGTCAGGTTCTTAGTCTCACTCAGTCCAACTGATACAGCAACTGTCAGAGAGAGAAATAATAAATAATGACTAAAAGTTTCCATTTGTTCTGATAATAGGAGAAAAAGTAGAAACACATTCTACTTCCTGTTATCTACATCTGCTCTTAAAAAGTTCGATCAGCAACCACGGACATTTCGCACGAACAGAGAGAAGATCAGTTATGTTATCAACCGGCTGCATGAGAAAGTGCTTACTTGGGCCGAGGCTGCGGACTCCAGTGGTGTGCTCATCGGCACCACCATCACCGAGTTCCTGGATGAAATACAGACTGTTTTTTCACCTTCATCTCATCAGGGTCAAGCTGCCAGGGAGCTTATGACTATCCGCCAGGGGGCTCGTCGCGTCCTGGATTACTCCATTGACTTCCGGGTTCTTGCAATAGAGGCCAGCTTGGAGGACCGCGCGCTTCGCACGGCCTCGATGAGAACATCAAGGCGAAACATCAAGGCGGAGCTGAATACACGTGATGAGCCCCCTTCTCTCCGCTCCCTGGGGCCCTCTCAGCCACGGGGGCGGCCCCCCTGCCGTATCCGCACCTGGTCGTGCCTGTACTGCAGGGCTCCTGATCATCACATTGCCACCTGCCCGGTGCGGCCAAAAGAGCGGGCCCGCCACTGACAGTGGGGACACTGACGGGCCGTCCCTCCACTTCCACCAGGCCGGGTACCAGCTGCCTCCTGCCCGTGCTCCTGTAGACAGCTGGTCAGGCGTTCTCCCGCAATGCTCTTCTGGACTCTGGAGCTGGGGGTAACCTCATGGACCCGGCCCTGGTGGAGCAACTAGGCCTTATCGCCGAACCACTTTCCCATGCAATAGAGACCCGGGCTATCGATGGCCGACTGCTGACCCACATCACTCACCGGACTCCATCCCTCCGTCTCACCATCGCCGGCAACCATCACGAGGACATCCACTTCCACATCTTCTCCATTCCAGACACACCACTGGTTTTGGGTCACTCCTGGCTGGTCCAACA